AGAGCCCGGCCCTCATCCCTGCTCCAGCAGCCCCCAAAGCCTCTCCGTGCTGGGAATCACTGGCCAGAGGATCTGCATTCCCCCCAAGCTGAGGCAGCTTTTAGTTCATTTAATTATCAAAAACCTCCAATCCAGGTTTAAGAAATTCAGTCATAAAATGACATCACCCACCCTGTGCCATCCTGCTGCCTCCTACCACCACCTCATACCCTGAGGGTCAGGACTCCCCAGCAGTGGCTACCAGGCTTCAGGAGCTCTGGGATGTGGCTCATCCCACAGCCCACGGATGGGAAGCTGGGGGAGATGGGCCAGGAGCCAGCACGGCCCAGATCTCCCCTCCACCATTCCCTCAACCATCACCTCCCATCACAAAGAAATCTCATAAAGACAACCTGGATGTCTTTATTGTTTTCCTATTTACAAATCACAAAGCTGGCCAAAAAGCAGAGTGTGAACACGGGACGAGAGCATCGGATACATTCATCAAAGAGCACAGGAGCGGGCGGGGCCCGCTCTGCTGGAAGGTGACGTGGTACAACAGAATGGCTCATACTTCTGGGAACAGGCATGTCCAACAAGGAATTACATTCATCTATCTACAAAAGCCAGAATTGCATCAAACTGCAGAAAAGCCAGAAGAACAGAAGTTGCTCAGGTGTAGTTCAGAGTTTGACTCCTCTCCCTCCCTCCGTGACAGCACAAGCTGCCAGACCTGCCCCGCGCAGGGAGGGCAGGAAGGTGGGATCTGGGACGAGAATCTGTGTAACAAAATAATCATGAGAACAACAGAACTTCCAGGGAACAGCCGGGGAGGCTCCCCTGCAGCGGGGCAGGGCCTGGCCCAGCCCTGCTCCTCCCAGAGCCGAGTGCCCGGCTCTGCTTCTCCCAGATTCCAATTACTCCACTACTGCCCCCTGTACCTGATGCCCCGAGGTGCAGAACCCACAGCAGAGCCCCTGGGAAGGAGCAGCTCCAGCACGGCCCTGGCTGCCAGCAGTGACATTCTTGGGAGAGGGGTGGTGACAGGAGCAGGCACAGTCACAGCCTGATGGGCACAGAGCCTGTGAATCCACCCCACAGCACTGTGTGCATTGCACACAATTGGGTTCAGTCACCAGGTCACGGACCCAGGTTGGGATTTTTTTCTATTTTTTTCTCTTTTTTGAGTACTGGCCATATTAGAACCATCCCACCTGGGAGCAGGCTGACAATACACAGCTCACACCATCTCCCTGGAGCACAGAGCACACTCTGGGCACCCCTTAGAGCTGCTGCTGAGGAGGTGCAGGGCATTCCCAGGCTGAGGAGGAGACTCCAGCCCCAGGATCCCGGCTGGGGCAGCAGGAGGAGGAGGACAAACCCTGCTCCAGCCAAGGACAGCCAGGTTCTGACTTGCAGCAGGGAAATCCAGTGGCAGCAGCTGCCCAGGGAGTGGCAGTGGCTCCGTGTGCTGGAGCAGGAGCTTGGGGAAGGGGCCCTGAGGCAGCACCACCCCAGCCAGGCCCACGCAGGCTCCAGGGGCTCCGGTCTTCCTGCCAGGCTGAGCTTGATTCCAGAGGAGGGAGGAAGAGTCTGGTGGCCTTCACTCGTGGGCAGTGAGGGTGGGGCTGGACCAGCCTCCCTCTCTGTGACAGCCACGGGGAAAAGCAGCTGGCCCTGAACAAGGGGTGTCCTCAAGGCCACCGAGCTCCACAGCCCAGCAGTGATGTCTGTGATCCCCTCCCGTGCCTGCCAACAGGCAGTGTGCAAACACACACCAGCACACAGAACATTCCACCTTCTCCTGAACCATTTGGTAAATCCTTGTCCATCTGCTGCATTGTAGTAACAGGCAGGTGCACATCCAGCCTCTCCTCCTGCTCCCATCAGGGGTGAGGCAGCAATGCACAGGAACAGAGGGAAACACACGGAAACGTGCATGGAAATGCAGGAATGCCCTGGAGCAGGTGAGGCAGGTGCTTCTGCTTCAACCGACAAACCCTGGCACTCTGCAAAGGACAATGACCAGTGACAACAACAGAGCTGGGGCTGCCCGGGGCTGAGCTGGGCATCACCAGCCCGTGGGACGTGCCAGGGCTGTGGAAGCAGCACCACGGGGACGCAGAGGGCAGGAGCAGCTGCCCCTCCCCACTCTGCAGAGCGGTCACCTCGCTGCCACCAAGTGCCCGAGGTGAAGATTGTCACACATGGGTGGGAAGAGCAGGAAAATGCCTCAGTCCCTCCAGAGGAGCTCAGCTTTGAGGTCTCCAAGCCTGTGTAGTGCTGGAACAGCAAAGCCTCAGGGAAAAGGCCACTTCCATGACTTCTGAAGGCGGCTCTGTGTGCTGAGGCTGCTGGGAGGGAGGGAAGGTGCTGGGCACGGGCTGGCCAAGCCCTGCAGTGTGGCCTGGACTGCTGAGCTGGGGCAGAGCAGAGGCCACCCAGCCCTGCCCGAGTCTGCTGCAGGACCATCTCCTCATGGCAGTGAAACCACAACCAGAGCCACTCGTTGCCTTGTTTCTGACCGCTGGAAAAGCATCTACATTCATTACAGTCCAAAAAACGCACGTTGTTAGAGAGGGTTAATCAGGAGGTGAAAAACAACAAGCCACAGACAACCTACAAATGGTACTGGGACAGCAGCTGGGCTGCACGGGGCCACCAGCTGGCCTGGCACCTGAGAGCAGCAGCAGCACTAGCACAAGGCAGAAGATGAGCTTTGAAATGGTTTCACTGTGACCTTTGGCTAGTGTGGCTCCAATTGGTGTGGTCAAACTCAGCCAGAGATTCAGTTTGGGAGGTGGCAGGGAAGAGTCGAGTCCAGGGGGGCTGGCAGTGGCACTATGTGTAGAAGATGATCTCTGGGATTTGTCCATCCTCCACCGAGGTGCCGTTGTTGTTCCCAGCCGCGTAACAGAACGTGAAGCAGGTTTTGGCTCCCGTTGTTGGTGATTCATGGATCACTTTGCGCAGTCCTTTGGTTCCATAGTGGGAATCTGGACCCTGCAGGGGCCAGGGAAGACAAGGACAGGTCAGGACCCCTCTGCTGCTGCCCAGGCTCTCTGGTGGGTTTGGAGTGTGGGGATCTCAGTTCCTCCCTTTTCCTCCGCAATGTGCACTCAGGTGCTCTGAGCTCAATGCAATCTATCAGAACTTAACACTAATTTAACCATTTAACATATGAACTTTTTGAGGCCACTGCAGCAGGCTCTGGGTTACACACTGCAGAACTGACAGCTCAGCTGTCCACACCAAAAAAACCACCCACCCCCTCCCCAGTGAAACACCTGCTCAGTGCTGTGAGACAAGTCAAAAACTGTCACAGACATCTTTTATGGAAAATCCTTTCCTTAGGATTTTTCCTCCTGAGAAGCTGAGAGGCCTCAGGGACAAAATGTAAACATTGATTATCTGCTGCTGTGGAATGCAACAGGTGCATCTGTGATTGGTCTCATGTGGTTGTTTCTAATTAATGGCCAATCACAGTCCAGAGAGTCCAAGCCACAAGCCTTTGTTATCATTCTTTCTTTTTCTATTCTTAGCCAGCCTTCTGATGAAATCCTTTCTTCTATTCTTTTAGTATAGTTTTAATGTAATATATATCATAAAATAATGAATCAAGCCTTCTGAAACATGGAGTCAGATCCTCATCTCTTCCCTCATCCTCAGACCCCTGTGAACGCTGTCACAAAAAGCCAGCTCTGAATGCTGGGGGTGAACGAGCCCATGGAGCAGCAGGGCCCACAGAGAGCTTGGGGATTGCACCACTGGCCTTGAAGGACACAGAGCAAGGCCAGGTTGCACTGATGACCCACAGCAGCTGCCCCCACCCCGCTGGTACCTTTAGAGTAGCACAGGCTGTGTAGTTGACGTTGGGTAAAATCTCCACGGGCTCCTTGAACATGACGCGGAAGGTGTTGGAGGAGCCGTCGCAGCTGAAGCCGGTGTCATTCTGCCCCAGCACGGTGTTGCTGTCGGTGTGGATGATCTGCAGCACACACAGCGTCAGCTTCCAGTGGGCACTGCCCACGTCAGTGTCCCTGAGCTGGGCTGAGCCCCGGGCACTCCCACATTGACCAGCCCTGGGATGAGTGCACTGCCCATCACTCTGACACCCATCAATGCTGTGGTCACAGAACCGCAGAATGTGGGGTGGGATGGACCTTAATGAATACAGAATTTGGGTTGAGATGGACCTGAATGATCACAGAATTTGGGCTGGGATGGACCTTAATGAATACAGAATTTGGGTTGAGATGGACATTAATGATCACAGAATTTCATTTGGGATGGACCTTAATGATCACAGAATATGGATTGAGATGGACCTGAATGATCACAGAATTTGGGTTGAAATGGACCTTAATGATCACAGAATTTCATTTGGGGTGGACCTTAATGAATACAGAATATGGATTGAGATGGAACATAATCACAGAATTTGGGTTGAGATGGACCTTAATGATCACAGAATTTCATTTGGGATGGACCTTAATGATCACAGAATTTGGGCTGGGATGGACCTTAATGATCACAGAATTTCAGTTGGGATGGACCTTAATGATCACAAAATTTGGGTTGGGATGGACCTTAATGAATACAGAATATGGATTGAGATGGAACATAATCACAGAATTTGGGTTGAGATGGACTTTAATGATCACAGAATTTGGGTTGAGATGGACCTGAATGATCACAAAATTTGGGTTGGGATGGACCTTAATGATCACAAAATTTGGGTTGGGATGGACCTTAATGATCACAGAATTCGGGTTGAGATGGACCTCAATGATCACAGAATTTCATTTAGGATGGACCTTAATGATCACAGAATTTGGGTTGAGATGGACTTTAATGATCACAGAATTTCATTTGGGATGGACTTTAACGATCACAGAATTTCAGTTGGGATGGACCTTAATGATCACAGAATTTCATTTGGGATGGACCTCAAAGATCATCCATCTCCAATCCCCCTGCAGGATCAGGGATGCCACCCACTATCCCAGATTGCTTCAAGCCACATCCTGGGCTTGAACTTCCAGGGCTGAGGCAGCCACAGCTGCTCTGGGCCCCTCTGAGCTCAGCACAGAGCTGTGGGCTCAGGTCCCCTCCTCCCCCAGAGCTCAGGGCAGCAGGATGGGCCCTGACAATAGAGTGAAATGCTGGCAGCCTGTGCCCATCCCTGTGCCCTGTGTGCTGGAGTGACTCCTGGGGACAGCCCTCCTGCAGTGACCCACACGGGGTGGCACAGGGGCACCCAGAGCAGGCACACAGCACCCATGGGCTCCACCTGCTCTTGGGCCAGGATCATGATGGACTTGAGACAACTGAGCCTCTCCCAGCCTGCCCAGGGTGGGAAATCAGGCACAGCTGCTTCCCAAAGTGCCTCCAACTGCCCCAAAGCTGGGAGCAGAGCTGGGGAGATGCTGCAATGACGTGTGCAATGAAATCAAGAGCAATAATCCCTCTGATCCCCAGTGCCCCATCTGGCCCCTGCCACATGTGCCAGCCCCCCTGCCCAGGGACACACAGAGTCCCTCTGAACCTCAGGTTTTGTTACAGATTCACTAAAATGTGTTTGTCAGCCCCTAAAACAGGCAGGATTTTTAAGGTAGCAGAGAGAATTACCTGTATGTTTACTTGGTAATCCGTTGGCCCGTGTATGGATCCGTATAATCCAAACCCAACTACAAATATCCTTTTGTTTACTGAGAACCTGCAGGAACAGAGCAGGAAAGTCAGTCCAAACCTGCCCCTCCTGTATTGCTCCAGTACAAAGCTGATACACAAATATCTCCACTTGTGCTGATTTTACATCTCTGATTTAATCAAACCCACACAGAGTTAAGTGCAGCCCTTCCTAAGAGTGAAACCCTGCACAGGAACCATCAGCTGCACACTCACACCTCTGACTGCTCCAGTGACAAACACAAAGCTGCACAATCCCATCCCAAATTTCAGGGTCCAGGCTCAGGAAGTGTTTCCAGGTTGTGGCAAAACATCAGCACCCCCAAACACCCTCCAGGCCCAGGCAGGGGTGTGGAGCAGTGCCCACCTCACAGAGCTCTGCCCAGCAAACACCACTGGGGATTTCAGTGCTGAGCACTGGGAATTGCTCACCTGCTGCTGGGTATTTGTTTTTATTATATTTATTTATTATTGTTCACCTGCTGCTGGGTATTTACTTATTTTTAATATATTTATTTATTATCGTTCACCTGCTGCATTCCAAATTTACCAAGAGCACACATAAGGCTTCAGCCACTCCTGAGTGCATGAATCCCTGCTGCCCAAGGAAAAAGGGGAAGGGTCTTTGCCCCACTACAGCTCCACCTTCTCAGGCAGCAGAAGCCTCAGGGTCTGCCAAGCTGCCAACAGCATTTCTTCATCCATCCACCAACTCTTTTAGCCCTGCAGTGTTTCCAGAACAAACACCTGGGACAGGCTGGAAGCCTCAGCTCTGCAGGCAGCTGGATATTGGAATATTCAGTGTTGGAACTGACCCTGATGCTGCAGAGGCTGAACCTGAAGTCAAACCCAAACTCCAAAATGTCTGTGAGTGTTGGAGGTGGCAGCAGGGGAGTGGAGCAGAGGATCTCAGCAACAGCTCCAGTGCAACAGAACCATCTTAAAGTTGTGAAAAGCTTCATTGCTGCAAGTTCCCTTCCACCCACAATGAACACAAAGCAGGGAAGAACCCCAAAGCTTCCTGATTCCCTCCTGTCCTGCTCTCATTTCTGCCTTGGGAACACAAAGCACCATTTCCCAGCCACACCTGCCAGTCTCTCACTGTAACTGGGCTCTGCTGGTCGTCACAAGCTCAGGTCTGAACAAACTGGGTGGCAGCAGAACTTTACCCCAACCCCTCTCTGCAACATGAGAGGTTAAGGGGCTTCAACAAGACACTGCAATGCTCCCCACTGACACTGGAGCAGGGAAGCCACCTGATGGAGCACTGCTTACCTGTCCCCCACAAAACATGGCAGGGGGACAACAGGTGACAACTCATTTATGTGCCCCTAAGCTGCAGGAAGCCTTTGGGGGGTTATTGCCCTCCCTTTCCAGGGGCCTGTGCTGGGAGCCACGTTTCCTGAAAGCCTTTGCCAACAGAGATGCAAAGTGGAGGTCAGTGCACCAGGGGCTGGCTCTGCCCGGCAGAACCCCTTCCCTTTGGGGTCACACGGTGGGAATTCGGGGTCTAGCACAGAACCTTGAGTGTTTAGAGCAGTGGGAAGCTCAGGAACACGAGCCCAGGGGTGGGAATGGGCGCAGAGCTGACCTGATCCTGTCACTCGTCCCACTGTACCCCCAGCGGCTCTCCACCTGCTGGAAGCGGCTGATGCTGCACTCCTTGCCCCGCAGGCAGCACCGGGGCCGGTCGATGAACTCCACCCGCGGCTTCGGGTTCACGGTGAAGTGCAGGAACAGGCTCACCACCTCCCGGTCCGTCAGGATCCCCGACTGGGCAGGCCCTGCAGAGGGGAGGGAGGGGCGGTGCCGTCAGCATTAGGGACCCTCAGGGATGATCAGCCCAGCCCTGTCCCTGCACAGCCACCCCAAACCCCACCCTGAGCACCCTGGGAGTGCTGGTCTGGGCTGGGAGAGACCTTAGGGACCATCTTGTTCCACCTTGCACCAGCCCAGGCTGCTCAGAGCCCTGTCCAGCTCTGGCACCCTGGGCAGCAGCAGCCACTGAGAGTTCAGGTGACACCAGGGGTGACAGACACGACCCCACTGCCTGCACTGCCAGCACAGCCAGCTCCACACAGGCTCAGAGACCGGACAGCCCATGGAACCTGGAATGTCCTCAGTGGGAAGGGACCCTCAGGGATCATTGATCCAGCCCTGTCCCTGCACAGCCACCCCAACAGCCCCACCCTGAGCAGCCCTGGGAGCTCCTGCAGCTCTGGCAGCCTTGGCACCATTCCCTGGGCAGCCTGGGCAGTGCCCAGCAGCCTCGGGGGGCAGAACCTTGCCCTGAGCTCCATGCCAAGGCCTGGCACAGCTGCAGCCCTTGCTGGGCTCCTGTCCCTGTGCCAGAGCAGAGCTCAGCCCCTGCCCCTGTGCCTGCCCTGGGGAGGAGCTGCAGCCCCCGAGGAGCCTCCCCTCAGTCTCCTGGGCTGCAGCTGAACCAGCCAAGTGCCCTCAGCTGCTCCTCAGCCCTTCCCCAGCTCCGTGTCCCTCCTCTGGGCACTCTCCAACAGCTCTGGGTCCTTCTGATCCCGTGGTGCCCCAGAACTGCATAAGCAGAAGGAATCCTCTGGGGTTTTCATGGGGAAACAAGCCTGACCTGCAGCTGGCACCAGGCTACACCCCCATCAGGGCTGGGATCCCAGTGGTGCATCAGGATATTAAATCCCAGACAAAGGTGCTGCCCTTTATCCACAGGGCTGCAGAGCCTTCATGGAACGTGGAACTGTGATTAACTGTGGAGCCCAAATGCACTGGGCTACCAAAAACACCCCAAAGCAGCTGATCCTTGCCCCACTCCTGGAAATGCCAACATTGGTGAGAGATGGGGATTTTCAAACATCCACACTGGTGGTTCAGACACAATGGAGGACCATGAGGGGGAGGAAGAGGGACTGTCATGCAGTTACCATCAACTCAAAAAGTTGGAGAGTATTTTTACTCAAGACAAAGGTGGTTCAGCTCATTCCTTCAGGCATTTAATCCACATCTTGCATTTGAATACCTTTATTGTAGAACCTTGGGAAAAAATGCCAATGATTTCAGCAAGAGGTTCTCATCTTTTCTCCAGTAACAAGACATTTTTTCCAGAGTGATCACAGAATCCCAGACTGGTTTGAGTTGGAAGGGACTCTAAAGCTCATCCAGTGCCAGCCCTGCCATGGCAGGGACACCTTCACTGTCCCAGCCTGGCCTTGGGCACTGCCAGGGATCCAGGGGCAGCCCCAGCTGCTCTGGGCAAGCAACTCAGTGATGCTAAAAATCTTTGCAAACTATTTGAAATACTTTCAAAAGTGAAACTGGATAAAATTAGCCTGTTAGCCTAACACTCAAAAGCTTCTCCACAGCTGTTTGCACATGGCTTTGAACAGAAACAAAACCATTGAGTAGTGGGGAAACAACAGCAGTTAAAAGCTCTTTAACATGGAGAACAAATGCCCAGCTCCTTGTAGACCCAAAACTACTTGTAGCTGGTTAAATTCAGCATGATATTACCCAGACAAAACCTGGCCCAATGATGCAATGGGGAGAGACTCAAGAATTCAAGGAAGTTGACTCCTCCAAAGGTAAATGAGCTTCTGGATACTTTGTTCAGCAAAAATCAGCCTGGTTGATGTGTCTGAACTCATCCTGTGTTGTTGCAACTCCCTTCTGCAATGTTTCAAATTCCCTGCTCTGAGGGGAGGGAGGGACACATTTGCCAGTTAAAACATCTTCATGCAAAACCCCACGTTTGATAGCAGATTATACAATCAACTGGTGAAACCACTGCTGTGAAATTCCCTCTTTTCTTGGCTTTTGGGGGAGAGGGGTGTGGAGGGGAAAGGTTTCCCTCCTGTGCTGTGATCACCACAGAAATCAGAGAAATCAGAGTCACTCAGAAAAAGGACAGAGCTGAAGGAATTCCAAGTTAATTCCTTATTTAAGGAACAGCTGATCACTGCAGCCCTCCAGGTTTGGGGGTTTGTTCATCTTATGGAGAAAACTTAAAGCACAAAGGTCCAAGTAGGACAGGCAGTTTGTGACAAACATGGGGAGGGGCACTGGCACTCCCAGCTCAAAGCTTCAACCCAAACATGCCAAAATCAACACTTTCCTTGCAGTGAGAGAATGATACAAGGCCACAAGGAAGGACTGAAAGAAACGGGATCTGCAGAAAGATGAAAGGTCTCTGCTTCACTGAATAAACCCACATTCCCTGAGGCCACATCACAGCTGGGACAGGCCAAGCAGAGAGTGGGGACCAAGTGTGAAGCCCAGATTTTCCCCTTACTGAGAGCCCTCCTCACGTGGGAACAGGGACAGGGAGGGCTGAGCAGCTGAGGGCAGCGCTGCCCTGAGAAGTGACCTGCAAAGGAAGGGTCAGTGCCCCTGTTTGCTCCTGTGTACACAGCACTGCAGCCTGGAAACAGTGACAGTCTGGAAAATGGCTCCACTGTGTCTTTTTAGCATGAAAACTCTTTAAGGCAATTGCCAGCTTCCAATCCCCAGGGAATCCCCAGAGGATGAAGTAAAAGACAACAAGCAATGGAAAGAAAACAAGGCAATCTATAGTCCAAGCTGTGAAATGAGTTAGACATCTCTGTGGATCAAGATCTTAATGTAAACTTGAAAAATACTTTGAGACACAGACTAAACAACACCAAGTTTGCAGCTCAAAGAACAGCTTCAAAGTTTTTGAGATATGGGGCTCTGCTCTGAACAGCACTGGCAAGACAGGACCAACACCAGCACAGGCAGAGGATGGGGAGAAACCTCCCCACTTCTCTTTGGGAACAGGCTCTGACCAACACCAATGATTCACAACTCCATCAGCTTTGTGCAGTTTAAACACTTGGGATGGCTGGGAAGGGGAGCAGGTGAACCCCAGTTTGGATCTCAGCTCTCAACTGAAGCCCAGTTTGGATCTTTGCTCTCAACTGAAGCCCAGTTTGGATCCTTGCTCTCAACTGAAGCCCAGTTTGGATCCTTGCTCTCAACTGAAGCCCAGTTTGGATCTTTGCTCTAAACTGAAGCCCAGTTTGGATCTTTGCTCTCAGCTCAATGGAACAGTAACCATAAACCGTGCTGTGAGAGCAAACCCAGCTGTGATCCCCCTGCTCCTCCCAGGGGAGCACCACAGCTTAAAAATGAGAGAATGGGCATGGATGAAAACAGCATTCAGACAGTGGATTTTGTTATCATAGAATCACAGGAGAGTGTTGGAAGGGCCCTTAAAGCCCAGCCAGTGCCACCCCATGCCATAGGCAGGGACGTCTTCCACTATCCCAGGGCACTCCAAGCCCTGCCCAGCCTGTGGGCATTTCCATGGATGGGGCAGCCACAGCTGCTCTGGGCACCCTGTGCCAGGGCCTCACACCCTATGGCACTGGAATACTACAGAATTATATATTATTATACTACAGAATTTCCTTCTGCTATCCAGTCTAACCCTGCCCTGCTTCAGGAGGCCATTCTCCCTTGTGCCATCACTCCAGGCCCT